TCTAAACTGTTTTCTTCGGCTTTCTAACATTTTTCGTATATCACTTCCATTATCTGGATAGGATTTAAGAACTTTTGTATTAGCCCAAAGAGTAGGCATGCATAGTTTATCTTCTCTGCTTAATTCTAGGTAAAACAATTGATAGCTTCTGAATTTAGGCAAAAGTAATAACTGTTAAAATGCTCTTTTTTTGTGTTTAGATAGCATACAAAATGATCTATTGTTACTACTCCTTATTTCTTTTCTAGTCTTCTAAAGACCCAGTCTTACAACTGCTAATCTCTTGTATTCCAAATTTTTGTGAAGTAATCTGCTAGATTCTGTAAACTTAAAACTTATCTAATCTCATGTATCTATATATTATTCTCTGCACAAAATTTCTAAAGAAACTTTGCTATGTCTTTCTGCTACAGGCATAGACTCCTTTGTGTAATTGACCTCAAAGCTACTTTGTTATCTATGTAGATAGTTATCTATGAGTATTTTAACTATGTCACAAAGGACTTTAGAGCTCTCAACATGATCAGACTTTCTAACTGTACTATTTCTGTTAACTTGAATAGTCTTGACCAGTTCCCTGCTATCTTGTAGTCTAAATAAACCTCATACTACCCTATTATCGAAATGTCTACAAAGATTACTTTTATCTAAGCTAACTTCTATGTTGGCTTTCTATTCTATTTCACTAAATTTTCTTTTAACCACTTTATGTTTTCTATTGCTCTTCTGATCAAGTGTATATCCTTGTTCTATTCTCAGTAACTTCAATTCATAGTATCTATTATCATATAAAGCTCTAGGCACTTTACCTGTGCTGGTAGAAAGGCCTGTGACAAACTTTGAATTCTTCTAGCTATCACTGCTAATTTTCTTGCTAAAACTGTCTAAAGTTCCTCTAGCTCTTTTAACTCTTTTTAAACTTTTATAAGTTTCTCTTCTGGAATCTTTATTAACCTTTTTTCTGTATCTACTAATAGCCTATAAATTTTTACTCTTTTTGATAGCTTCTAGTTTCCTTTGTCTAGTGCTTTTACTAACTCACACCCTTCTAGGTTGACCTTTATTATCTATTCTTTTATTTACAACAGCTCTTCTTTCATAGGATATGTAACTTACAAGTCATCTATATAGTTCCTGTAGAAAATTTTTTGTGATCTCTATGCTCCAATTAATGCTCTCATTAATTTTGAAAATATTCAAGAGGCCTAGCAAAGGCTAAATAGGAGTATAATGTAGTAGAACTACTCCTTTGCTACTTGAAAACCCAGAAACTGTTATGCCTATTTATCCATCAAAACATAGTGATAACTTTCCCACAAGTTGAATACTATTACTCACTAATCTTTATTATTCTTAAGAAGTCACTGAGACCTTTGAATCAGAAAGTCTTCTTGAGTAATACTTGATTCAATCTTCTTAAATCTATTACTAACTGATATTTTTTTGGTCTTACCTTTGGTACAAAGAAAACTGAACTTATTTCTAATGAGACATCTGGTCTCCTTTCTTCTACATAAACTAATTTCACTACTCCTGTCTTTCTTAATCTTTTTAACTCTAACTTGACCCACTTCATCTCATCTTTTGACAACTTGAATTGCTTTAGTACTTTCATTTAAGCTAATATTTTTACATCTTTTACAAAGAGTAGAACTTTGGTCTTTAACTACATCATCACTACCACTTCAGGTCTTATCTTCTCTTTCTAATACCTCACTGATGCCTCTAGATAAACTCTTTCTACTACTTTTTCCTTCCTCTGTCTCATCTCTTTTTGGGGCATATCTATACTCTGAGTGTAGTCAACTTCTTTTATTTCCTTCAGCTCTAGAACTGGATCTATAAAAGGGCTAATTTGTTTTCTTTTAAGGGCAATTCTAAGTGATATGGTCTCTTTCTTTACAAATGAAATATACTACACTAGCATTCCTATCTTGTCTTGAGGACCTACTTAAGTTATATGATTTCTGATCCTGTTGTAAGACCTACAGCCTGTTTCAAGAGTCTCTTTGACTATCATATAGCTATAGTTCCTGCATTTGATATAGAGTCTAAGAAATTATATTATTCAGAAATAGTCCTACTTCTGGATTAAAGATTGGCTAAAGAGATTGGAAAGATTGATAAGATTGTAAAGGTTGGAACTGTTGCTGAACCACTAGCCATTGCATCTTTTAATCTGATATTAAACCTTCTACATCTACAAGTAAGTTATTAAATATTGAACTTAGTACTGCAGGCTTATTTTCAAGTCTTTGTCATTTACTTTTAGCTGTTTGTCTTGCACTAGCTAACTTATCATGAAAGAGTGCTTCTATGAGATTATCTATTAATAATTCTCTAATTTCTGCTACAATATTCTATCCTTTCTAGTTAACTATTCTTAACATAAAGGTTCTAGTAGCTACTATCTCCTGTGCCTTCAATATTAACTCCTAATTATTACTTGAAAGAGCATTATCTAAATACTTTCTAACTTTATACCACTCATCATATTCAAACTGATCTCTTGCCTTATTTATCTTTTTCTTAGTTCAGTATTTATTCTCTTCTATATTCTAAACTAGCAGAATACTCTTCTTAATCTTTCCAATTACTTTACCCATCATAGCTTGCATCATTTTTTCCATAGATCTTTTGAGAACTACATATTGCTAGTCAAAATTCATGTAACCTCTATAACCTCTGTACTCTACTGTATCTGAGCTTCTGCACCCAATTCTATCAGTATTTCCAAAAGGTCTATTCCTGACATTATCTTGTAAACCTTTTTCTAAATCAAAGCCTATTCTCATTTCCTCTATATTTTCAACCTGGGTATTATCTGGTATCTTGTCCTTACTCTTGGCCTTACTGAGCACCCTATCTGCTAACCTCTTAACTAAATCCTTTTTAGTTCTCTTTTCAGATAGACTTTCTCCTCTATATATTACCTTCAATATATCGATCGTTAATCTGTCTAAACTATTCCTCAAGTTTTGCTTCTGACTTTTTTCAAGTTCATCTCTCAAAACATTACCTATAGCTGTTGAACTTATCTGCTGTATTCCACTATCATTATTTATTATTTATTAACTGAAACTATCTATTTTCTTATTTTCTTAACCACATGATATTTTAACGAAGAGCTAAACTCACATCAAGCTTGCAACAAAGAAAAAAGATATCTGACAAATTTCAAAATTGTTTTCTTATATACCTTAAAACATGACCTCATACTTACTCAAATGTCATGTCATTATTTAATTTCTTTAACTAATACAATATCATTCTGGGGGTTTTGGGATAGTTAGACTTAAACTATATCAGAATCATATTATAGAGGCTTCTAAAACTCAAAAACTATATCGATATTTTTATATATTAGGAATAAATCCTAGAGGCTTCTAAAGCCCAAGAATTATATTGATTGGATCATATTCTGAAGGCTTCTAAAACCTAAAAACTATATCAATATTTTTATATATCAGAAATAAATTCTGGAGGCTTCTAAAGCCTAGAAACTATATTAATTTTTTGGTTAGATAAATTAAGTCTAACAATTTTTTAACTCTCTAGAATGTATTGCGTGTGCTTTTAAAGCTCAGGAACTATATCAATTTTAGTTAAATTTATAACTATATCAGGAATATATTATAGAGACTCCCAAAGGCCAAAAACTATATTAATTTTTGATTAGATTTGTTGTCTAACGATTTTAGATTCATTAGATTTATTTATTAATATCTCTAACTATTCAAGAATTGCTTCTAGAAAAATTTAAATGTTAATTAGCATATCAAGAATCATGTGATTAATTAAAGCTAACAAATTTTTCTATAGACAAGAATAGCTTCTATACAAGCTAGCTCATTAAATAGCAGAATTATTAAATAAGTCTAACGAGTTTTTTGTTCTAACTTTTCCTTAGTCAAGAATGAGTTCTATGCAGGCTAGATCTTTAATTAGCATATTATTTCTATAAGTCAAATAATTGTCTCCATTAATAAGTCTAATGATTCTTATAAATTCGAAAAAAAAAAAAAATTTGTTAACTTACTCTTTCTAGCTTCGAGCAGCTCATAAATTAATATATTAATCATGTAAATCTAACTCTAATACTCCCCTGTAAAAATCTAGAAGAAATCCGTAAAATTGACCTAACTTTTTCTTAGTTAAGAATAGTTTGTTTAAAGTCTTAGTCTGAAGTTTATCATAATATTAGGTAACATAAAAGCCTCTAATATGTAATAGACATCAGCTATAAGCAGAAGAGGTAGGTTTATCACAATCAGAGCGAGGAATACGTTTTTTAGCTTTCTAATAGAATCGACATCCTTCAGGGCGAATACAAGCTCTCACATAAGCCTTTCCAGAATTTTTAAGATAGAAGCAAAAATACTCACTGATCATCCTGCTATTTTATCACTAAATTTGAAAATGATTAATAATAATTAGTTAATGTTTCAGTTTTGCAATCCTTTTTTTCTTCTAGTCATAAATTTGAAAAAGATTAATAGTTATCTTATATAGTGTAAACTAAAAATATCTAGCTTCGAGAAGAAGAGATCGAAAAGTAATATGTACTCTATATATATAATAATTAATTAAAGAAAAAATTATATAAGCAAGTAATAGCACGACAGTTAGAGCTAACACTATGGTTAGAAAAACAAGAAGTGATAAAAAAGATACAATCTGTAAACATTGTAGTCATGAATGTTCAATATCTCAAAAACTTCGTGAGCATCTTAAGTGAAAAAATCCATGCAAACTATTACAAAAGCAGAAGGAAGTAGTTTCTATTCAAGCACCAATTCAGATGCCTATTCAAAAAGCTACCTAACAGGCTATCCAAACTTCTGAAATCAAAGCACAGAGGAAACCATATATGGTAATCCCAATTCTAGTTCTTGAGCTAGAACCTGAAAAGGAAGCTTTAGTACTTGGTAACGACTACATCATAGAAGAGAAGGCAAAGAACTGGATCAGTTCAAATGCATATAAACCCAGAGAGCGAATTAAGACATAGAGTGTAAGATTACAAAAACATTAGAAAAAACTTGATCTAGGTAATGAACCACTTGAAGTAAATGATCTAGATAGTTGTAAGACTCTTTTCTATGATCTAGAACAATATAATTCTAATGCAGTTTGCCCACTAACTTTAAAAGAGTTAGAGGAATATGAAAAAAAAGAAATAAAAAATAATAAATCTAGCTACTCTGAAGCATCCCATCAGAGCAAGAATTTGATTAATAAAGAATTTGAGTATTTAGGAGAAATTAAGGAGTATGAAAAGTCAGAGAAGGATTTAGAATTTAGAGAACAAGAAGAATTAGAAACAACAGTTAAAAGAAGAGCCATAGCTATACATCATGCAAAAGTTCTTAAATCCTATCCAGATAATGGAAGTGATATACGAAAAATGTTAGAAAGCCGAAGAAAACAGTTTAGAGAAATACTTGAAAAGAAATTCAATAAGCATAGACAATTTAAGTTCACTCTATGTTCATTTACCAAATTTCTTATAGATGATAAACCCAGGAATGAAAAACAGGGAAAAAAGAATTTACGAACTGATTGGCTTAGAAATAAGCAAATTATAGTCTACAATAGAGCTAAAATAGATAACTACTTAAGTGATACCTTCGAACAAATTCTATACTAAGTGGAAAAGAGAGGTGAAAGGTTTAATACTTGAGAATATATTTGGCTAGTAAAACTGAATCTGGTGAGACAATTTGTAGTTCTTCTCTCACAAATAAGCATCTAGGACCATTGTAAAGCTTATAGAGAACAGGTTGATTCTTTTTTATCAAATAAGAATCAATTGTAAAAACTTCAGAAGACTAATTGCAATCGGTTACTCTTTTTCTCCAACCTTCTAATTCACCAGGTTCTAAAAGATGATGAACTTCAGTATAGCTAGGTAAAAGTGGTTCATCATATCCAGTAGATCTTTGATACTTTACTGAAGATCTAGCTATTATTTTTTCTCCTTTTAATACTTTTTTTACAGCTTCATTAGAGGGCATTTCAATTTAGCAAGTAGGAGTATTATTAAAAATATCATGTGGTTAAGAAAATAAGAAAATAGATAGTTTCAGTTAATAAATAATAAATAATGATAGTGGAATACA